AATTAGTCTAGGTGTCTTTTTGCAAAAGAAGAATTGTTTGCTACAATTGCAATACATGGTTGCAATTGTATATACATATTTAAATAATTCCAGAATAATTTTAATAACTTAAAAGTATTAAATGAATTCTTTTCAGTCGTTCTAATTTCAATCCATTGTTTTAAAATAAAATCCACTGTCATTGGTAACGACTAGTTTGAGTACATTTATGCAAAACAAAAATGATCCGCACCAGTTGCCAGACATAGTTGTTAGATTTAACTAATTCCTGAATAATTTCAATTAAACGAATTCTTTTTTAAATTGTTACTATTTATTATTTTTCTCATAAGTACATAAAATTCACAGTCATTAATGCTGACTTAAATAAGCACTGACTTAAAAGAATACTGACTAACTTAAAGAAATACTGACTTAAAAAATACTGACTGACTTAAAGAAATACTGACTTAAAAAGAAAAACGCTGACTTAAAATGCACAGGCAACTGCTTTGAATAATGCGAACACGTACAGATCGTGTGCACAAGAGCTGATACACCACCCCGGCCGGCGAATATTCGATTATGTGACCGAGTGAATTGTTTCAGTTTACAAGAGGTTCTATTGTCAACGTAATTATCCAAGTGACGTGTGTCTCAAGTGGCATCGCCGCGGCTTCGTCTCTCGGAGTAATCCTGCTCTCCCGGGAAACTAGAGTAAGTTCGTACACATCAATTTAATCGATGCACCGCGGGTCATCATGCTAAAGGTTGCGCCGATGGAATGCAACAGGCATCTCTGCGATCGATCGCCGCCGAGTCGCACGCACTCGGGTCGAATACTCGTTCTTTCCAACGACACGCATAAATAGCCGAGCGTCGACTGAGTACGGCGCTCGGGTCCGTTTGGACCCAGATCTTTAATATTGTTCATATTTGAATTATTGGTATTGTTATTATTGTTCTCAATGTAATAGCGATTTATCTAATTTAATTGTTGAATATTGGGAACGATTTGAATACGGGGGCCGGGTCCGTTTTGACCCAGATCGCAAACATCGTCAGTTTTCGACGAATTAATTGAAACTGGGCGATTAACCTTGACAATTGAAAATCGAGAGAAAGATTAACGTGACTGAACGTTAAAAAATATGTTTCTTAATAATATTGGTAGATAAAATTTTACATTGTTCTTCGTGATTCGTCGCTGGCGAAACGTTGTTGTTCTCGTGATCGGCGAACAGGTATGTTTGCGGCATTGTCGAAAGTGAGTCAAGGTACACAGCGGACTGTCAAAACAGAAGATAAGACGGAGAGATAACGGCGAGGGTAGTCGTCGAGCAGGAATTTTTGCACCTAATTACGTTAGGAACATACGCGACGAGACGTGTGAATCATTTTGTGGCTCGAGCAGAATTCAATTTTTCCGCGACAAATTGCTACGCGCGTCCTTCGGAGCTTTTTTTCTATTACAGAAGCTTTTTCTCTATTTCAATTATCAAATTTGTATTGTCGATAATTCTTGTAGTTAAATGAAAAAGAATTTTGTTCGATCATAAAATTTTTTACATTCGTTGAAATAAATTTTTCCAAGTTCGTAGAATTTGTAAAATTTGTGACATTGTTGTTAGAAATTTTTTAAATTTTTAGAATTTGAAAAAGCAGTAAAATTGAAATTGGAAGCTTGTAAAGTTAGTAAAATTGTAATTGGAAACTTGTAAAATTTGTAAAATTCCAATTAGAAGCGTGTAAAGTTTTGTAAAATTGTAATTACAAATTTACAGATTCTGCCACCTTGCAATTACAAAATTACTCAATTTCCAACAATTAAATTAGATAAATCACTGTTACATTGGAAACAATAATAAGAATACCAATAATTCAAATATAAACAATATTTCTGATTTGGGTCCACAAACGGAGCCGGACTCCGTGTTCAAATCGTCGCCCAATTACTCAATTTCCAAAAATTAAGTTAGCTAAATCGCTGTTACATTGAGAACAATAATAACAATACCAATAATTCAAATAGAAACAGTATTTCTGATCTGGGTGCAAACCGACCCGAGCTCCGTATTCAAATTGTCACCAAATTTCGCAATATTCAACAATGAAATTAAATGAATCCCTGTAACAATAATAACAATTCCCCAATCGTCAAAAACTGGAGAATCGAAGAGACGATTTTTAACCTCTGGGTCCAAAGTGACCCACCGCACAAGTATGTTAATTAGTCGAAGTTTCTTTAGCATAGTCTGCGCACATAATCGCGTCGCCGCACGATAAATATTGAGTAATTCCCACGAAGTAATATTCCGAAGCGGCGGAGAGGTGATGACGCTAAATGAACGACGGCGCGTGTTCCGCAAGCGGCGCATTGTCTTCGCGCACGTTCCGTCATTACGCCGGAGCCAATTATCAATTCGCAACACTTGACGAGCGAGCGAGCGAGCGAGCGAGCGAGAGGCGCGTATCGTTGCGACGAACGGGCCGGTTCAGCCTCGCCTAGCCGTTTCGCCAAATCGTTCGTTAATCAAACGTTGTCCCGAGCAAATCGCCCGGAAAATGTAAATCGTTCGCTCGCGCGAGCACCGTCCGCCGATTTTATCGCCGGTGCAACGCGACTCGAAACGTGCCACCACGTTGCCGGCCGACCACCATTCATTAGCCCGGTGATTGATCGATCGGATAATTAATACTTGTCCGAACGACAGGTCCAGCGCGCGCCTTCTTCCATCAGCATCTTCTTCTTCTTCTCGTAATCGGACGGCGTGTATAATGATTCGACTGTTTCTACGGAAACTTTTCGCTCGCCTATTTAGTTCCCATCGAGATCTACACGTGTTGAACTCATGCTCCCGCAGAGTGTAACCGAGCTTTATTAACGAGCCGAATCAATTTCGGATCAGCGATGGGAACGAGATCGATGTGTACTTGTGCATTCGAGTCAATTTTGGTCAAATGTTGTTCTCGAACCCATCGCTACTTGTTAGATGCTTGAACACATTTATGATACACTAGGTTACAACTGTATTTTTAATGGCCATGATCCTGCCATTATTTACTATATACTTGAACCTAACTCAGTATTTAGTATACTTGAACCCATCGCTACTTGTAATATACTTGGACCCATCTCCATTTATGATACACTAGGTTACAACTATATTTGTAATGGACATGATCACATCTCCATTTACAATATTACTTGAACGCATCCCAGTATTTCATGTACTCGAACACATCACTACTTTTAATATACTTGAATCCGTCACTAATTATAATATACTAGATCACAAC